GAGTGAAAAATGCTTTGCATATACTTTTGGGAGTTATTTTCGTATTTATGTGTTTAAGCGTTTGTCTACCTATGGTGACTTGCGTTTTGAAGTCGAGCAAACAGAGAATTGTAGTTGAATATACTAGTAAGTACTACAGATAGTATTTTTCTTGTATTTATGTGGTTTGTTAGTCCGAGTAAAATCGAGGTCTTCTAGATTTATCCATGAGTTGAGACACATTGCTTTTGTGGCATTATTTGAGTTGTGAAATTGGGTATTCTCAGGCTCAGGACCCGTCTTCATTTTGTTAGTTGAATAGTTGTTACTGAAACGGAATCTGGATGGCTTGGTAGTGCTTAGGTGGCTTTGATTGAAAGATGGATTATATTCATGCAGCTGTCATGTGGAAAATGAAACATTTTGATTGTTGTAATGTCTAAAGCTACTTGCTTGTTGTAGTCGCGTTAAAGAATTTTCATTTAGTTTCAATCTTCCTGAAGGACATGGTGAAGTGAATTTGCATGTTCTCATTGTTAGGATGCGGTTCGTGTCTCTACTAATTGTACTCCTCACATTTTCAATCCCCACATGATTACAACATAGTAATCTTTTCTTTTCTTTTTTCTCTCCTTTTTTCTCGTGACCTTTTCCAGGAATGGTGTGAAAAACAAATGGAGTTTATTTTGCTTCTTGGCAAACCTAAACGGACGAAAGCTATGAAAGCAGGCAGTGCTCGCCATGTAGTACTTGAAGAAGAGGTGTATATATCCCTCCTGTCTTTTCTTTGAAATATATGTTCGTTCAATTGAATATCACACTAATTATGGCTCTCCAGACGTGGTTCTATTGTGTGCAGGGAAAAGGAACTTGCCGTTTTATATACTTTAAGCACTTTCTCCCATATATTCCTTTTGCAATATTTATGATTTTGTGTTTCTGGGACAGGTGATCAAAAGGGTCAAAGTTGAAGTTCAATCAACTGAAGACGTGTGGGCGCTTAAATTAATGAATTTTATTGTCGGTGCAAACCAGCTTCTATTTGATGGATTAACACGTGAATTACCTTTGTAAGTTTTTCGTATTACATCTGTCAAGTGGCTTGATGTTAATGATTTTACACTTAATCGCACAGAACCATCAGTTAAATTAGACTTCTCGCTTAAGGATAGAAGCAAAAAAATGTTACACTATGCGAGTAACTTTAACTTTTTTTAACATAGTGGATGAAAAGATGGTCACAAAATTTTCCTTTTCTTCTTTTCGGTAGGTGGGGTTGGGATGGGATGGGGTGGGTTAAAAATGTAATGATAAAATATACATTACAATTGGTCACAAGTTAATAAACAATAAAAGAGCATATATTTTGAGAAATATTTAGAAGTTAGATGACTGGGCCTGGAAGATTAATGCTGGCCCTCCCTTGCCACTCCTAAACTCAGTTTAGGATGAAAATACAAAATGGGATTTAGAAAGGTTGAGGGAATGAGCCGTTTGGGGAACATGCATACTTTTAAATGGCGAATGACTCAGTTTAGGATGAAAAATACAAATGGGGTTTGAAAAGGGGAGAGGAAATGAGCCATCTGGGCAATGTTGAATGTGGATCATTTACTCAGATGGTCTTATGAATTTCAAATTGATGCATTTTCAGAGTGTGGTTTGTAGAAGGTGTGTGGATGGTGGGAGTCATAGATGAGCTTCGGATGTCTGTATCAGAGTCCAAAAGATTCCCAATGTTAGTTGACACAAAAACCCGTGTTCAAGCAAAACTTCCAGGTGAACCGCAAAAAAGAAACGGAAGGTATAAGGCTACTGTCATCTATAGCTGATTAATTTTCCTTACATTTTCTACTCTTTCCTCTTCTTAGTTGTTCATTTAGTCAAGATCTATATTTTGGCAGGCTTCAACTAATGTGCTACAAGTACATGTGGGACAGTTTAGTAGCTGACAAGTTTCCTTCACAAAAGTTTTTTGATTTCTTTTCTTTGAACCCCAATCATATATTATCGCCGCAAATCAGAGAGAATTCAGCAAAGTCAGGTTTTCCTTCGAAGGTAACTTCTACTATTTGATTGTGGCACCAATGTTATAGTTGTGCATGGAGATATACGGTAAATGGAAATAGTAAAACTTGCGGAATATTCAGAGAAATCTGTGCAAGAATATTTGGTACAGCACATCCTATAGATATAAACATCATTTTAAGAAGATTATCAATTTTTTTCATGCGCAAGTTCCCATGTGAAGTGAGAGCAACATAGGTTTAAGTTCAGGAACAAAATAAAAAACTATTTTTCTGTAAAGCATATTGCTACTCTGTCATCTATCACTTATTCAACTACTTAATGGTTGAAGTTTATTTTGGAAAAATGGAACAAAAACTCACAAATATAGAAAACTGAGGTGGTAAGAAAGATTTCCACGTTTCGCTGTGACACTTTCTTTAATAGTTGAATTTAACATCTGTTTTGTGTTCTTGCAGACTTTGAACGATGTGGTGAGATATTTTGGAAATAGTTGTCATTTGCTGCCTCAGGCTCACGACAAGCTACTATTGAGGTTAGTTTGGGCAGTAACTTGAACTAGAATTGGTGGCATTATATGTTCTGCAATTTCTAGTCTTCTCATAAGATAAATTATAAATGTATTTTTCACCACATAAAATTGAGCATTGCTGGAGTTG